ATGTTATTTTTATGCGAAAAACAAAGGTTACGTTTTTTTCTTCTAAACAAATTCATACATTTCGTATTTGTGAGTAATTAAACAAATGCTCTACGATATTCGACAAACACTCGTTACTATACACATTTTAAGACAAATCGGATGTGTCTTATCTTCTTTTGTTGCGAATTACTCACAAATACGAAATGTTTGAATTTGTTTAGAAATATTAAACTGTAACCCATCCTTGCATAAAAATAACATTTATCTTCCGGAATGGTTGCGATTGATATCGGCAAGGTAAACTAGTATATTTTGCTATAAACTGCCCTTTGAACTAACCCTGTATATTGCTCAATAAACTAGTAGTGTTGGCCGGAAAACAGGTGATTTGGGATAAATTAGAAATTCTCAAAAACTACTTGACCAATCTCCATCGTCGCATTACAAACAAGCGCCAAAACCTGCAGTTTGCCTGGGTTTTCGGCCATAACTTTTTTACTACTAGTGGGATCTTTTTACGTGTGGCCTCATTTTGTAGGTCTCATAAATACCTAAAAATCTTATACAGGGTGTTCCATAATTATTGCGACAAAATGATAGGTGTTGTAGAGGGCATCAAAATGAACAATTTTGTCTTATAAACCCCTGTTCGGAAATATGCCGTTTGGGCTGCAACAAAAAAAAAAAGATCAGTTTCTTGAAACAGCTTACCTACAGTAATTGCTCAAAGTGTCCTCCACCTTGCTCAATACACAGCTGTGCACGATTGTTCAATGATCGGCGAACTCTGTGGCATACCCCCGGTATGTCCTGAACATGTGCGGACGCGGCCATCACTCTTCCCAGTAGCTCTTGTTTGTTGGAAACAGGAGTTTCGTACACTAAAGCTTTCAGATGGCCCCAGAGAAAATAATCCAGTGGGGTCAGGTCGGGTAACCGCGCAGGCCAAGGCACAGGGCCACCTCGACCTATCCACCTATTTGGAAATTTGTCGTCCAAATACTGCCGCACTTGTAAAGAAAAGTGGGCTGGAGCGCCATCGTGTTGAAACCACATGTTGGCTCTTATGTTCAGTGGCACATTTTCTAATAGTTCCAGTAGCACATGCTGTAAGAATCGATCATAAGCATGCCCATCCAAACGTGGTGGAAGCAAATATGGCCCGATGATATGCTCGTCCACAATGCCGCACCAGATGTTAATTGAAAACTGATGTTGGTCTCTGGTCTGGATGGCTATGGCATGAGGGTTTTCTTCATCCCAAATGTGACTGTTAGGGCTATTAAAATAACCGTCCTTTGTAAAACAAGACTCGTCAGTGAACAAAACGTAGCGACCAAAGTTTGGTTGCCTCAACTCCACGAATCCTTGCAAAAATGGCGTGATGCGGATGAGGACGTTCTGGAAACCGTTGGGCGTAGATTCGCGAGGCTCGTCTTTCGTTACCACCAGCTTCTTCGTAAATTAAATGCATATCCGCAAGTTCTGCATACGAATAACGCTGCATTTTAACACTAAGGTACTGTTATTTACTATCTAGTTTGACGCACCACTTAGATAAATTAAATGAATCGGTGTGGAGAATTTACGATAACAAAAATGTAAACACAGCAGGCTTTTTTTTTACAAACCGGCGAGACCATGAAATGTGCTAGACGAACATTTTGCAGCTGGTGAATTTTTTGTTTCTCCTATGAGCTCTTAAGGTAAAATTAGCGGTAGTGCTCAAACGGCATATTTACGAACAGGGGTTTATAAGGCAAAATTGCATATTTTTATGCCCTCTACAACCCCTATCATTTTGTCGCAATAATTATGGAACACCCTGTATAAAGAGTTTTTTCGTTCCTGTCAACACTTTCGATTGAATTCCAAAAACACGTTTTCTCATTCTTTGTTGTCGAATAAAAAGTTTTAGCAAGTTTTGTATAATATTCACATACCTTAGAATTTGAAGTTCTTCTTACACTACTTTTGAATGCTATTATTCCACTGTGCCGCCGTAAGTTTCCATTCAAGGCTCTGGATGAAAGGGTCCTCCTTCGCCTTACTTCCTGCAATAAATGTCTTTCGGCTCGAACTCGTATATTTTTTATTATCTCCTCCGTGCAAGTATGACGTTTCCCCGGTATCCTGATATCTACGCGTTGAACGATATACAGGGTTATCCAAATTAAGTGTCCACCATTAGTAACTTTGTTATTAGTGAAAATACAAAGTTGTTTGAATTAGCAAACTAGTAGCATTTTTAACGCTGGTAAAAATGAGAAATAAAAAAAACAATTGAGAGTCGTTATTTTGATTTTTTTTCTAGTAAAATAACATTTTTTTAAATGGAAACCCCTGTATATTATATTTTTTTCTGTTAAAGCATCAAATTTTAAACAAAAAAGTTCATAATGACTTTTCCGCTAAAGTCAAAAATAAAGTCAAAATAACGATAAATATTTTTAATTATTTGCAGTATTATAATATTAAGACGGCTATGAAAACAACATGGCGTTCGCGATTTGACAGCATTAAGATAAGCGACAAATTGTTAAACTGGACATACTCGCAACTAGAAGGCTTTGGAAAACAATGATAAAATCAAATAATGTTAAACATTAGTGTAAATACTTGTTTATAAGCTTTATTGTGTCATTAATTTAAAGAAAAATGTTCTCCCATGAAGAAAAGTGTGATATGTTAGAATGCTATTTAGTGTGCAGAAAATCCTCCTTGAGAGCATGAGAATACTACAGTGAATTATATCCCGCTCGCATTCAACCGTATGAACGATATTTTCTGAGACTTTATCGAAAATTTAGGGGCAACGAAAATGTTTTTGCTAAAACAAGGGCAAAAAAAGAATTCATAATAAGCGAGGCCACGGAAATTGCAGTTATTGGATATTTTGAAGCTTATCGTGAGAATTCAATAGCAGATATTCTCAAAGACTCTAATTTCAGTTATGGTACTGTTCAAAGGATTTTAAAAAAATACAAATTTATTCCGTATAAGTACCGACCAGTTCAAACGCTTTTGCCAGGGGATCCAGAGAGAAGACTTGTTTTTTGCCATTGGTATCTTAGCTACTGTAAATGTAAATAACTTTCGTTACCTTTTATGGACAGATGAATCAAATTTTTCAAATTCTGGAATGTTTAATAGAAAAAACCACCATTATTGGTCAAGAGAAAATCTTTTGTTAGTACATCCAAGAGGCCCACAAGTCCGTTTCAGTTTCAACGTTTGGTGCGGTATAATTGGTTCAAAAATTGTTGGCATGTTCTTTTATGAGGGAACCCTAACTGGTGAAAGATATGTGGAATTTATGTCAGAAATTCTGACTAATTTCTTAGACGAATTGGATCTTATAAGTAGACATCATCTGCATTTTCAGCAAGATGGCGCACCTGCCCACAACTCCAGAGGTACTTATCATTTTCTAAGTACTACTTTTAATGATCAGTGGATAGGAACAAATGGCCCAATACAGTGGCCTCCCAGATCACCAGATCTAAACCCACTTGATTACTTCTTGTGGGGTTACTTAAAGAACCAAATTTACAAGCGAAGGTACGATAACCTTGACGCGTTAAAGACTGCAGTTAGGGAAAAGATAACCCAGATAGATGGTAGGACCATACTTAAGACAGTTCGAGCAGTTGAAAAACGTGCCCAAAAATGTATTGAAGAACAAGGTGGTGTTTTCGAGCATCTTCTTTAAAAAAAATTGTTATTGTATTTTGTAAGATTATAAGTTGATGTTGAAAATAAAGTTTGTCGATACAATTTAATTGTTTCAGATTGGAGGCCATAACTTCAACAATTTGTAACCTAGGAGAAAAGTTATTGTAAGCTTTTTTGTTTAAAATTTGATGCTTTAACAGAAAAAAATATAATATACAGGGGTTTCCATTTAAAAAAATGTTATTTTACTGAAAAAAATCAAAATAACGACTCTCAATTGTTTTTTTTTATTTCTCATTTTTACCAGCGTTAAAAATGCTACTAGTTTGCTAATTCAAACAACTTTGTATTTTCACTAATAACAAAGTTACTAATGGTGGACACTTAATTTGGATAACCCTGTATTGAGGACCGATCAACATTATAAATTAGAGCTACATCATTTTCTAAACGACCATCTCCCAAGAATCTTATACAATTATCTCGTTCTTTTTGAAAAAGACGAGGTATTTTTGAGAAAATAAAATTATACTGTCAAGTCTACATTGCATTGCATAGGTATATTTAGGATGAAACCGGAGAAACGTCCTATTTGCATGGAGAGGGTAATCCAAAAATATACGAGATCGAGCCGAGATACATTTATTGTGGGAAGTAAAAAATTCGATGACTTTAGTTATAGCCAACTTCCGAAAAATTTGAGATCTCTTTTTTTAGGATAGTCCAAAGATTAGAAAAGATGCATAGAAAAATTTTCAAGATCAAAAATTGAGAATCTGACAGCCCCAAACTTTAATAAAAAAACATTACTTCCTTTGCTCACCCTGAATAAGTGGATAAATTAAAGAAATACCGATCGAACCCTGTACGTGTTCTCAAACAGTTGGTCAAGAACGTCCCAAATACCGCAACTCGATATCTTTTTCCGTTCCGAAAATATCCAGATATGGATTTGGGTAAAATTTTTTGTATCGCAAAGCAACTGTCCACCAGTTTATATATTTTGTGCCTGGTCCTTACCCCGTGAGTACGCTTAATTGTTACTCATAGTCCAAGGTTAGGATCGCATTGTGGATGCACTATTCTTAACTCCAAAAAAATGCTCCTTCCTGACCGATACTACTCAGGTGTTCCATCTTTCTGCTATAATTTTGAGCTGCTAACATTTATCTAAACATGACAGCCACCGTCGAACAACTTACTAATATTTTGCATGTAAATACACACTCCCTACTACACCTAATCACGTTTTTTTGTTTCTGCTTTTTTCGCATTGCTTATGCATGGGCATTGTGTGTATATGTTAGGAAAACTCTCTTTATAATACAAAAATATTTGTTTAGTGCCCAAGGTGAATGCAGTCAAGCCACAAGCTTCTAAGCCCATTAGCAACAGAATGGCTGGAGATGGTGGCAAAGTGGAAGAATTAGCAAATCAGCTGCAAGAGTGTAAGGTAAGATACATCTGAACTGCTTTTTTGAAACATTCGATCAGCAATTACTCGATAAAGCCCAGTAACGAGCTTATTCACAACAATGTATTTTTGTTAATTAAGAGGGATATCAGAGAGATATTCGGTGTTCGTTATCTCAAATAGTAGAAAGATCATTTGCACTTTTCCCTTTTGCACATTCTGCTCCATTTCGAATTTCGGTGACGTCATTACTAAGTTTGAAACACCATTGTTGACGATGGGTCAAGACGGCATCTAAGTAATATACATGACTTTGTGTACTGCTTGGAGTTACATCTGATGATTGCGCACTATGGTACAGTTTCATTTGACAACATTGCCGTAAGATGGTTATGATTTGTTCATTCTATATACCCGATTTCACGAGTATCCATCACGGTAGAATCACAGCGGAATATATAGTAATATTTCAAAATTCCCCATATCGGCAAATGACACATAATTCTGACGGATCCGTCAATGCCCGGTAGACAGATCTATATTGTTTGGCTTTTTTGTACGCTACAGATTCATTTTGTACTTGCTAAAAGCTCTTTTACTCAGAAAAGTTCATTTGCATACAAAAAACAAACCAGTATTACTAAATTCACACCTGATTCATTATTGCCAAGGTCGCAGACTAACACAAAAATGTCACTTGCTGATCAGCTGTTCACCTCAGTAGACATCAAAGCGTGATCCTCGGATGGCGTAACTTATTACGGCATTGCGTAACAGTATATACCGGGTGGTTCTCCAAGGTGGCTCACCTCTATAACTCTATTATTGAAGAAAACGAAATTTGAGGGTTGCGTATTATAGGTGAATTTATATTTTTTGACATATTCACTTGATTTGACGTACTCCCGGTTTGACCGGAAACAACTCCAACTTACGATTTTTAATTTAATTACTGATTTCAATCGAGAATGACATTCTGGACTCATCAACGCGGAACTTGTCAATATTTGACAAGTAAAGTCATATTCATTTCATTTTTTATTTTTCGATCTAGAATGTCATGGATCCTGTAAATCGCTGCATTTTTGATCAAGTAACACGGGAAAAATACGATTTTGAGGCGAACCACCTTACAGTCGTTTTAAAGATTGTCTAAAGGTTAAAAACACTAATTTTTGCCGTTTACTTGATTTTTTCAAATAGGACGAGGGTGGCTCGTCGGCTTTTTCTAAGAGACCATTTTCTTACGAATAATTTGCCACTATACACTCTTATTTTATTTTCATTATTTTCCTGAATAATAATTGCAAGAAACGATCGTGCCTAACAACAAATAATACGTGACTAACAATTGAAGGTGTTGCTTTCGAAATACAAAATGTGCAACGAACAAGAAGAAAATTCATTATTGCCAACGTTATAGACTGTCATTTGCTGATCAGCTTTTCACCTCAGTAGACATCAGAACTTAATGGATTCTCGTGAAATGGGGTTTACTGTATTTCAAATGGGGTTAAAACAGGGGTCGGTAACCTTTTGAGACGGAAGATTTAAAAGTTACAATTTACAAAAACCCGCAATTGCATTTGAAACGAACTAGCATTAATTCCAAATGGCTCAATGTTGATCTCATTTATATTTGTGTTGAGTGGGACTGGAGAGCCGCAACTTGACATCAAAAGAGCCGCCAGGTTGCTGACCCCTGGGTTAAAACGTTTGTATGGGCCATTCAATACACCCTGTATAAGTAAAGTTAACACGGTGCAATTTATTTTTAAGTTAGCAAGATAGGAAAAATCTGCTCTCTGCTACCTGAAATTTACTTTTTAGTTGACGATTGATGGATTGGAGAAAGAGAGGGACTTTTATTTTGGAAAACTCCGCGACATCGAGGTGATGTGCCAGGAAAATGAGGATGAGAATCCAATCATCCAAAAAATATTAGATGTCTTATATGCAACCGAGGTAAGTTGCTATGTTTATGATGAAATATTGAATAGTATAAATTAGCCATTAGTTATTTAATCTTTTAGTATACAACTTCCAAATATTTTACACTTGTATACATTACATAATTTGTTCAAGACTTGGTTCAGTTTTAGGGAGAGAACTTGAAAAAAATTGTTTTATATCTAAAGTGCCTGTTTTACATTTACACAATTTAAGGAGTAGCTCACGATTTTCCGCATTAAAATTGTTTCTCAGTAAAGCACAAATCCGAAATTGTCAGTGCAAATATACGAATATCACAGATCAAAACAGATTTTTGAGTTTTGAATCATCGTCATTTCCAACTTGTCTAATCAACATTCTACAATGAGTAACTCTTGAATAACGAAACATGCTACGAAATACAGGGTGGACCAGAAAGATGTACGGATTTTAAAACCGCATTGTTCGTGACAGACACGCGGGAGCGGAACACGGGTAGTGGGGATAAGTAGCTTGGCGCTCGGAAATTTAGTCGCCATGGAGCGTTTCACCGGTGAGCAGCATGCGTTATGTGTTAGGGCTTATTACTGAGTTTAGTTTACAGGATCTAAATCGATGTTAGTGAAAGTGTGATCAGGTAGTGGGTCAGAAAGTTCTAGCCTACCGGTTCGGCACTGAATCAGAAACCTGTGCGTTCAAGGTCAATACAAACAGAGGAAACTGTAAGCGAAGTTGCGACGTCCGTACGACGCAATTCACAGCTATCATCCCGAAAGAGATCAGTTGAGCTCACCATATCAAGAGCATCTGTATGGCGTATTTTGGTGAAATACCTCAAATTGCACCCATATAAACTTCAACTAGTGAAGGAATTGAAACCTAAAACCATGTTTGAGCTCTTTCCAAGTTTGTACATATTCTCTTTTCTGATGAAGATCATTTTCATTTGAATAGATTTGTCAACAAGCAAAATTACCGGCAGTTGACCGCAGAAAATCCAAAATTAGAACATCAACGACCTTTGCATTCCCGATATCTTACAGTTTGGGCGGCCATGTCGGCTGAAGTAATCATCGGACCCTATTTTTTCGAAAACGATCAAGGACGGACTATAACCATAAATTCTAATTGCTACACAGCAATGCTACGTAACTTTTTTCTTTCCACAACTGCATAATTTTTAAGTCTACCATAGCAGGATCTGATTTCAACAAGGTGGCGCGTCATCTTATAACGCCAACAGGTCTTTAGCAGTTGTAAACGAAATGTTTATTGGAAAACTGATATCGCGACAAAGGGACATTCTGTGGCCTCCCAGGAGCCCAGATCTCACGCCTCTGGTTTTTTTTCTCTGGGGATACCTCAAGAGCCGTGTTTACGCCAATAAACCGACGACGATTGCCGAGCTCAAGCACAACATTTCCGAGGAGATCCCACGAGCGATATGCCAGTGAGTTTTCACGAATTTATTCGAGGAGTGCGTACGTCTAGATGGCTCACATCTCAGTGGTTATTTTAAAAAATAAAATTCCCTTGTGTCTATTTTATTAAAATTATAAATTATCTTCCTTACGCTTTGTAGTTTTTTCTATGATTTTTTAAAATCCGCTAAATTTAACGAGCCACCCTGAATAAACGAAACTATACACAATAAAAATGATAACAAATAAGTGAGGTTACGTTTCAGAGCACTGTACGGATGCGCAATTCGCCGGTCGAAGAAATTGTGCGGAAATAGGTCAAGTTCTAGAATATTCGAATCAATGTCTTGGTCAGTTTCCGATTTACTTTCCACGCCAGCGCGATACATTTCGAAAATGAGATATGTTTTTTGCATGTTATATTTCATCAGTTTCATTTGCAGTGAACAAAATTGTCGAACAATATAACAAATGAGGAAGAATGGTAGTGTTGTACACAATTTTTTTAAAATAAACGCTTAGGGTATGCGAAATTCTATATAAGTGATTCATTTTCTTGGATATTTTTGAAATAATGCATTCATAGTGCCCTTCAAATTTTAATTTACTGTCTACGTATATGCCCAAATATTTAAATGATTATTCCATTGACATAATTTTTTCATGATTAATTGTAAAATTTATCGTATTTTGATCTGAAGATTTTCCTATTAGCATATGTTTTGTTTCTGTTTAGTTTAAGTTTATGTACATTTAACCAATTTATTACGTTTTTCATATCATTGTTTAACAGCTCTATTGCAGTTTTAGATAGTTATGGTATAGTTGTATTGTTTCTTGATTCAAATTCTATTATCTGCTCATATACCTTTAAATGACAGTAATGTTATGCCTACATAATTGTTACATTCCTTTTTGACCAAGCAGACTTTCTGCATCGTCAATACTCTTTGAGCGTTCTGAAATGCTATGCTAACTTAAATATTTTCGATTTCAGGAAGGCTTTGCTCCTCCCGATGAGGTGGAAGGTGGTGTGGGTGACGAAGACGAATATTAATGTAAATCCTGTTAAGACCACTAAGTTATTAAAAAAGAAATTAGCAACAACGGTTTAATTATCGTAATTCAGTTAAGTTTATTCAGATATTTTTATACGTGTGTTGCTTCAATGTGTGAGATAAGTTGTTAACTGTTCGGCTCCGATGTCTAGTGCTACATTTTTACTGTTACTTTTACTTTTGCTCTATATACACGAAATTATTTCAGTAAAACGTATTTTTAACTCTTGTTCCTCCATTTGCAAATTCATATTTAATTACAATAAGCCTCCAATCAACTATGAAGTAGATCTAATGAGAAATAGTGATTTCACATGTTTGCATCATTGACGTTAGGCTTAAATTTTCAAGTTGTCAGTAGAACTTGCAATAATGAGAATAAGCTATATAGCTATATTTTAATTTATGTTAGCTGCGTGGATTGCTAGCATTAATTTCAATACGGAGTCAGATGCAACTGACAGACTTGCAAAAGTATGTGGGACTACAGAAGTTGTGAAATCTAAACTATTTTCGAGATTTATTGATGTCTATTGAGGTACACATCTGATCAGCGACATTTTTGTCTGTATATTGACAATAATGAACCTGATGCAAATCAGCGCTTTATTCAAAACTGTTCACATCAAACATGGATGAACAGTTATTTCCACATATGTACTTTCAAGTGTGTCGAAACTTTCCTAATTACTGTATACAAAAAATCCACAACACAACAAGACCACACAACATCATCCCCTCTTAATATGAGTGTTGACACTTGGCGATATGAAGTATTTTGAATATCACTAGCTAGTCAGCTGTAATTTCTTGTCTCGTTTTGAAGGTCTTATAAGTTCCAAACTAAAGATGCACATACTCACCTAGAGCGAACATGTGCGCAATATAGCTTTTTCAAAACATTTATGTCGCCCAACGCTTTACAGTTTTTGACTATATATCCATAGAATTTGACTACATCTGAAAGTTTTAAGTTGATCGTACTTTCATTGAACTATACACCCAGATCCTTAATTTGGTCAATTCTTGAGAGATCACTATTCGCATCGTTCAATTATCTGCTTTTTTCTTGAAAATGTCTGAACTTTCCATTCAGATACATTCAAGTACAGCTTATTAGCTAGGCATGGATATAATCAAGGTTTTCCTGTAGAATACAGCACTCTGAGATATCATTAATTGCTATGAAGATTTTCAGTGTATAATAAATTGAAACAAGTTGCAAGATAGATCGTTTACATACAGTAAAAATAGAAGGGGCCTAATTTGGAACCTTGTGGAACACCTGAAGCTACAGCTTGAGATACAAAACCATTATAAAAAACATTGAGACCGATTTTCGAGATATGATTGAAAGAAATTGACCATTCAATTATCACATCCATAATTAGATACTTTGTTTGTCAAAAGCTTTAGAAAAATCTGTATAGACCACATGACCGTGATTCTCCAAAGTTTTGAAAAACTGCGTGAAAGAATAATCATGCTTAGTAAAGGAAACTTGGCTACAGACCAACGATAAATCTGGATATACAGAATCATTTCAAATACTTTCGAACATTTTGGCAAGATATGGCTCTATGGTTTACGATTTCATTCAAACGACCACTTTTGGACATTTTTCCAGGTTGTTGTAAATTTTGAAGAGCTTAGTGCTAGGTTGATGATAACTGTTAAAGGCGCTGCAAAAAATTGAGCACAGTCTTTTACGAGAAAAGATGGACTACCATCTGGAACTGCAGCCAATTTATTTTTCAACTTTTCCATTGTTCACCATACATCATCCTCAGAAACAGTTCGTAATGTGAATGAGACTGCTACTGACATTCTTTGTATTAACATTCGAATCGGATTTAACAAAAACACTTTGAAAAAAGTGGCAAAAAGACGAACAATATCATGGGGATCATTTGAATTAATGTATACAATGTCTTAAAAAAACATCAACACAGTCATCTACATCTGCAAAATTGCTCAATACAGACCAGTCTACATTCAACATAGGACAACATCCGAAAGAACGATACCTATTTTGGCATCTTCTACATAACCTTGCGTACTTTTGTTAGTTGCATTTTTCTCCGTATCAAAGTGCGATACTAGCGTCGTTCAACGAAAAGGTTTCTACTTATTCTATCAACGCATTATATAGGAAGAAATTTATAGACATACAAGGTCTGTCGCAAAGTAAACAGGGCAAAGGAAACAATGAACAAACATTTTTTGTTTCGAAAAATCGAATTTATTTTATTCAAAATAGTCTCCTTCAGAGTCAATACAGCGATTTGTATGGATCAAAAGATCAAAATGGTCGTCGACGCCTAGTTTACTGAACAGAAAATAGTCATACTGTGTCATATCAGGAGAATATGGGGAGTGGTTGATGGTTAAAATGCTATTTTTTGTCAATAAAACTTACACAAGCGTCGATCGATGAGATGGGGCATTATCGTGCAACAAGCTTCCTTCTTCGCGATAATCTGGCCGAACACGACGAATTCGCGACAGCAAACGCCTCATAACACCGGGATAAAACACAGCATTAACCGTTTGGCCCGGTGGAACGAATTCTTTGTGAATAATTCCCTTCAAATTGTAGAAACAAATCAACATTGTCTTCAGTTTTCCAAACGGCTTTTCTCGGATTTGGTGCTTCCATTTGGCACCTTTCTCATGACCAAATTCTTGGTCAAAATGCGATGGATTGAATCTTTCAAGATATTTAATTACATTTCTATGTATCTCCATGAAGATTTTGGACCATTTTTGATAAATTCACGCACTTTTTCCACGGTTTCTGCCATAATCACACATTTTGGCTGGTTAACATGTTCGTCGTCTTCCAGCGACACACGACCCTCTTTGAACCGTGTAAACCACTCGTGGACTCGGCTACTAGATAAACAATCATCACGATACACTTGCATCAACATCTGATGCGTTTCGGTAAATGTTTTAACACAGAACTATCGGATATCTTTCAACAGTCCTGTTTACTTTGCTTCAGACCTTGTAATTTCATTTGAGATGATTTTATTTAACCTTTGCCCAAATCTGATTCTGCAGTTTATAAATTTTCTGGCAATATTCGATATTATTTGTTTCTAAACAGAATCGTCTTCTATTAGTTGATTGAATGTTGCATTTTTTACAAGTAGTCCGCACTTTCATGCTGGAAACTTGTGGTTGAATATGAAATGAATGTTCCACATTTTAGCACAATTTTTTGCGAGAATAAAAGTCTGCTAAAAATTCTTTTTTAAATTGAAGGGTGTAACGTCTTGTGGTACATACGCTTGTGTACTAAGTATAAATATTTATTAAATGATTACATTCATTAGTTTTTTATTTACACGTGTCGTTTAGCTGCGGTTAGGAAGATATGAGGTCGTCTTAGACTCATGTCTTCAAAAGCTAGAGATGCAGACTTTCACCAAAAAGCGCAGTTTTTACTACACTAGTATAGCTTATCGACAGAGTTGAACGATTTGCCAGCAAAACATCTTCGACAACGTAAAAGTAGCTACTCAATTCAATTCAATCGACTTTATTGGAACACATATATACAGTAGTACAGTTACAAATGGCGAAGTGTGGCCATTTGCCATTCATACTTATCCATGTCGTAACCTTATTAATACCTTGACCTAAAACCTACCCAAGGGCCTTCTGTCACAAAACGAAATTTAGTAAGATAAATTTTGAGCTAAATTTAGTACGCTAAATTTAGTACGCTAAATTTTGAGCTATATTTAGTACGCTAAATTTCGTATAAAATTAAGCATAGTGTCAGAACGCATTTAGTACATAATTTTGTATGAACAAATTCAGTGCTAAAATACTATATATACTATACTTGTAGTATACTAAAAGTGCGCAGTCGATTACTGCGTATATGGAGCAGTACAATGGCTGATATAACCTGAAACACTTTCATTATACTGTACTTAACTAGAATCAAACACGCTTTGACGTCTACTTAGGTGAACAGCACGATACGCCTACACTGAAGATAGGATATTGCGCATGTGGGCGGAGCTTCGTGACGTCACCCGGAGAGTTGTCGGCTCGTGGTTACCAGCGGCAGGATTGTCGTAACGTTACTGCAGTTCACGTGTATCGTGGTTAATACTATATAGTGGGATTTGTTGGTGTTTTTTTGGTGGTTTGTGACCTGTTCTATTAGTTATACATACTTTGTATAGCCTATGTGGTTGATAAATTGTTAAAAATGCGGTGTGCTGCTGTGGGAATGTAATTCCGACAACCAATCTAAACGGAATCCTTGCAAAGACATGAAGTTCCACAGTTTTCCTCAAGACCCAAACCTTAGCAAAAAAATGACTGCATCATACAAAAAGAAAAATCAAAGTCAATGTAAAAAGCGGTAGGGTTTGCTCGAAGCACTTTTGTGAAGGTGCTTATCAGGTCAATTTGAAACATACCCGTTTGGGTTACACGCCTAAAAGATATCGTGCTCTAAAAGATGATGCCATTCCTATGGAAAATTTACCCAAGTCTCTATCATCACCTGGACCATCTACATCTGTTGATGCGGAAAAGTGCTTACGAAAAAAGGCAAAGGGCTCATCAACTTATCCCCTAGATCAGGGCTGTCCAGCTTAATGTGGCCCAAGGGCCACTTCAAAAAAAAAATGCAGTTTGGAGGGCCGCATTATAAAATCTTTCTATACAACATTATTACCGAGTTTTAATAGGTATATGCATATTCGGTATTTTAGAGTAATTTATACATGTGATGTATACATGACCCGTGAAGCGGGCCGTATGTTGGACAGCCCTGCACTAGAGGTTAAGTATAGAATAAGGTCATATATTTTGAGGCAAAACGAAGGCGCATTTTCAGAGTATCGCAGCGTAGACGAAGAGGATACTCCGGACATTCCACTAACCGCATCATTAACGAATAAATTGAATGCACCTGAAGTATCAGCTGACTATAACGAGGAAGTTTTAGTGGAAGAAATGGATGAGCTCGAGTATGATGGGCTGAACAATTTGGCCGGCTTTGTTTGCCATAAATTGCAGGATGAGAGGTTGAAAAGTTCGTCAAATGCAACTTACTCCTGGATAGACCATCTTAGTGAGAGTGGATTATCAAAACCTTTTACAGCCTTCATGAATCAAATTGAGAAGCTTAATAAGGTGCTTACTACATTCAATGGGGAAGGAATAGTGACAGACAAGCAAAATTTGATAGGCGAACTTCTGTTGAAGAGCAGCAACATTGACTGCCCTGATGCAACTGACTGGGGGAGAAAAGACGAGGATTTTCTTCTGCTTCTATTGACAAAAAGAAAGCAGATATTGAATGAACGTCATCAGGACACGCATTAGGCACGCGGTCCGAAGGTATATAAAAAAAAGAACTTACCGCTGAGGGTCAAAATCCCATAAAAAATGGAAGAACCCAAAATAACTAAATTTAAGTTACGCAACGAAAAGAAAAGGGTGCTAGTCCATGAATGGGTGCTTGGGGCCTAATATCCCAGAGTCTGGAAAACGACAAAAAAAAACCTGCACCACGACCTCAACGGAAGCTGAAAAGCGAATCACAGAATACGTAACTCTAGAGGAAGGAATCTTGAGTGGCCTTGAAGAAGATATGTTTTATAGGAAGCCAACTAACGGAGAAAAACTGCAGAGTTAACACCATACTGAATCGCTGAGAAAGAAAGATACAACACGAGTGAAATTACACAATCAATAAACTATTAAATTTGCAAAAAAAATCATTGAAAAGGGGTAATGGCCTAGGAATGGGCGCTCTATTATCAATGAGGAGAAATTCAAATTACTGATAAGTGATAAATAGAAAAAAAAGGTTACGAGATTTTGGCACGTGACAATATTGCCTTGAACAAAGAGAATGGGTGATCCGCTACCATAGGCAATAGTCCCCCAAACCATTACTCCAACAGTCTTGTGTACATGCCTCCCAACAGCAAATCCAATATTACGACCATCGCCCGTAGACAGAATCGTGATTCGACGCTGAAGATGACATTATGCCATTTTGCCTCCCAATGTTGCAGTTCTTTGTTCCAGTTCAAACATTGACTACAGTGGTCCACAGACAGAGGAAGCGCTAACAGTGGAAGTCCAAAGGATCGAATACGACGATAGAGTGTACGCAAAGTAACAGGTCGTCGATTTGACATGATTTACTTCTATGCAGAAGTACCTCGTTGTCCGTTAGAGGGCGTCAGTTTTCTTTTTAAAACGTTTCTTAAGATATTTTTGAACCGATAGGCCGATTTGAATGCAATGTTGAACACATATGTTTTGATAGACGTTCTAGAAGGGTGAATACTACCCCACCCCTACATAAATTATAGCAGAATTTTTTGGCAACTTTCCCGACGACTTTTGATTTAGCTGATCTTTTTAATTTCTTGATTTTTTGTCTGTTATAAAACCAGATCATCTCGCATAGTTTCCAAGAAAAAGACATGAGTTGCATCAAGACGTTTTCAAGCGTGTTATTAATTGTTTAAGTGTGGTTAGTGAAAAGTAGGATATTACTTATTATTTTATTTTATACAGGCAATATTGCGAATCTTTCATAAAAGGTGTTCGTATGACTACCATTTTCGTTCCTGCACATAACAATAGGACCCAAAAAAATATAGTTAACTTTCACTAAGATGTCATTGAGATTGGCGTTGTCTATCTGAACCTCGTATACTTTTGTTTTTAATGCTCCTCATATAGAAAAATCGCATGGATTAAGATCCGAGGAACGAGGTGGTCATTGAATAGGACCTCTATCCACGTACCATCAAATTTTTCGTTCAACCAATTTCTTACAGCACGAGCAAAGTGAGGTGGAGCACAATCATTAAGATGTCCCCAAAGAAATGAGATTTCTTTTTCTCAAACGCATACCCTCTAATTTTGCTTGAACAATGTCAAAACAATTGTAAATAAAGTTTTATGTGCCTAGAACCAGAGCAACTGGTGCCAAGTTGCGTTGGAACATGTCAAAACGTGCATATTAGGCGCGCGCAGCTAACCTATTGTAGTAGTAGTTTGTTCTATTAGTACACGCACTGTTTTCGTTTAGTCAACATGTCGAAGGAATATGCAGTTCTAAAAAGGGAATATACCGGTTCAAAACTTCCCTCTAATGGACAGGTACTAGCAGTTTTGTTCTATAATATTCGGGAAGTGAAATTAAGTGTCAATGAGTGCATTATATACTGGGAAAAGGCTCGTGTACTGACTAAATCTCTACCTGACTGCGTTAAGAAACTAGTTACCTTATTCCAAGTTTGGAGAGATTTGCAAAAAAATGCAACACACAAGTGTTTGGACAATCTGTTTGATATTGCGCATTCCGATGCTCTTCAATTGATGAAAATAAATGAAATGCAGATAGGATTTTCGTGCAGCGGCATAGAGAGCCAGGTCGACCTGGGGTGGATAATAAATCAGCCATAAAAGAAAAGGCGCGCTAAATATGTTGATTCCTTAACTACTTCGACATCATCTTACGAACCATTGCAAGAAAATTCATCTTAAACTTCAGAGCACACAGCCTGATGCTAAACAAACGCAAATGAGGAAAAGTTTCAAAACTCCAAAATTAGTGGCAGCATTAGATAGGTGTTAAGTATGAGAACTGCTGTTTTTATTATTGAAGCAACTATTGAGGCAGTTGGATATAACACTGACGAGTTTCCTATTAGCAAGTCCTCTATTCAAAGAATTCGTACCGAAAAGCGAAAGGAGCGCGCCGGAGTTATAAAGCTTGATTTCCAAAGCGAGGTACCGGATACTGGAAGCCTACTTGCACACACACCGATTTTGGACGACCGGTAAAATATCGACCGAGTTTTTATCAACTGTCCACAGAACGTCTACTGATAGTTATAACGTATGAAAATAAAGGGCAACGTATCGCTGTGCCCAAATTGGATACCTATTCAGGCAGCGAGCAGGCTCAGGCAATTTGAGATGCTACCATTGACTGGAATCAAGATAAACTTCAGATTCTCTGTTGTGATCCGACTACTTCAAACAGAAACTTAATAAATAAATGCTTGTTTTTGCCTTCCCCCATGACGTCTACGAATTAGTGTTAAAAGGCGTGTTTGAATCAAAGATTGACCAAGTGACCACAAACCCTGACATTCCAATATTTAAAAAGTTTCGCGAGAGCTGGAAAAGTGTGGATCCCGAGAAAATATAGATTTATGCTGAAAAGTTATCGTGTCTGAATATTTCAGAGACTGTAAAGCTACTAGAATGTTATCGACATGAATTGACCAAAGAAGTTGACGACTATAGAGAATTAATAGAACTTTCAATAAT